GGAACCCAGGGGGGGTCCGGAACCCAGGGGGGGTCTGGAACCCAGGGGGGGTCCGGAGCCCAGGGGGGGTCCGGGGCTCATCGTGGATCTGTGTCTGGATCCGGATCTTTTACGCGTTGAATGCCGGACACTTGAAGCTTTTCCAGGAAAAGTTGCTGCCAAAACATGGCTGCGCATGCGCCGCTGATTGGCTCCTCCTCCTCTTCCTCTTCCTCCTCTTCCTCCGTTCATTCATTACTTTGACAGGTTTGTCAACATTGGGAATAAACGTGTTGTATAAAGGAACAAAGCCCTTAAACTGATAAACGCGCCTCACTTTTCAGGGTTTAACCGCTAACACGCGTTTTTATTATTATTTTTATTTGTTTTTATTGAACTTTTTTGCAAAGCAGGAAAACATCAAATATTAAAAATTCTACATACATATGAGAGGGATGTACACATATAAGAATAATAATAATAAAAAATAAAATAATAATAATAATAATAATAATAATAATAATAATAATAATAATAATAATAATAATAATAATAATAATAAATAAGAATAAGAATAAGAAAGAAAGAAAAAAAAAGATAAATAAATAAAATAAAATACTAAAAAATAAATAACGGGTGCCCAAAAGCAGAAAAAAATAAAAATAAGACTACAAATTGTCCTCTTGTTGCCAGGCTAAGTAAATTAAACCCAGTCTCAATCTCTGAGCTGCAGACGCATCCAAATAGTCCAAAAAAGGGTCCCATGTCCGGTGAAAAAGAAATGGTTTGTCTTTCAACGCCGTAGAGAAGGCCTCCATTGGAATGATACTTACTGTATTATAGTCCAGGCTTATGGATGGAACTCTATCAGAAATCCACGACACCATAATACACTTTCGAGCGCGGTGTAACAATATATGTAAAATATCCCTGCTAACACGTGTTTAAAGGCTCTTTCAGCTCGTGGTAAATCAGAATATCAGTGAGGACAGATTGTTAAACAGCTTCCTGGGCAGAAAAGATTATTAGGAGCTGATAAATAAGCCTTAGAATCAAAGAAATATCCTTTTCTTTTGCTTAAACGACACGAAAAATGCTGATAAAAAGAACAAAAATTAAGTTCCAAGTCTTTTTTTTTGGCTTTTTGATATTTGAATGAGTATTTTCTGCAAATTTC